TTTCTGGTCAGGGGAGGAAAGACACTTTTGGCACCTCTTGAAACCACAGATAACTCCTCCCCCGATCACTTTTGTGCACGGAAGCTTTCACTGTTGTTTTTTTTTTCTTTAATTAGGAGGGATTGAAAGCAGCACCTTGGGTATGCTAGGCAAGCAGTCTGTCTCTGAGCTACGTACGTCCTAGCCCTCTTAAAACACAGGATCTCAGTTGCCCAGGCTGCCCTGGAGCTTGGAATTCTTTAGCCTCAGCCTACCAAGTGGGATCACAAATTGTGTGATCCCAGGGCCACTGCAGCTGGCTTAGGGTCTCGCCTCATTTTTTTTTGTGTGTGTGTGCTGTGCTGGGGTGCTGAGCTCCACTTCCTGCCGCATTTGTACATAGAAGCTTTTTTGCACATAATTTCAGGAAATCTCTTCAAAGACTCAAGGCCTCTCCTGCCATTTGGTATCTGTTGGTAACAGGGACAGAGATTAGGAAAGTCGTGAACCAGGTGTGCTCACGCATGCCAGTAATCCCAGCGCAAAGGAGGCTGAGGTGGGAGGATTGCCAGAAAGGTTGAGGCCCCTTTGGGCTACACAGTGAATTCAGGGCCAGCCTGAACTACATAGCAAGACCCTGTCTCAAGAAAACAAGTACGTTCGCTTTCCAGTTGTCTTTTTTTTTCCTTTAGTACTGCAGATCACGTCCAGGGTCCTGCTACAAATGAGTTACATCCCCAGCCCTTCTTATTTTTACCTTGAGACATTGTCTAAGTCACCAGGTTGCCCAGGCTGGGCTCAAACTTGCGGCAGTCCTGTCTCCTGAGTAGCTGGGATTCAGGCACGTGCCATCATACCCAATTCCATTTCTTCTTTTTGTTTGTTTTTGAGACAGGGTTTTCCTACTTAGTTCAGGCTGGCTCTGAACTTACTGAATAGTCCAGAATGGCCTCAGACTCCTCAGCAATCGTCCTGCCTCTGTCTCCCAAGTGCTGGAATTGTAGGCTTGGGCCACCATGCCTAGGCTCCCTTTGTTCTTTATTATTATTTTTTTGGAACCAGGAATCGAACTCGGGAGCTCACGCTTGCTAGGCAGGCTCTGAACTGCTGAGCTATATCCCCAGCCCCTTCCATTTGTTCTGATCTTTTTTTTGTTTGTTTTTTTCTGGTACTGGGAATTGAACTCACGACCTCATGCTTGCCAGGCAGGCGCTGTGGCGCTGAGCTAAATCCCCAGCCCCTCTATTTTTCTTTATTCTGAGCAAACCATGGACTTTATGAAGGGGACATTCTTTTGTTCTTTGTGTGTGTATGTGTTTTTTTTTTTTGTTTAAATAATATATTTTCTAAGTTTGTGATAGAAGCATGAGTATGAGGTTGGCAAATTATTTTATTTTATTTTATGTATTTAATTTTCTTGTCTTTTTGAGACAGGGTCTTGCTATGCAGTTCAGGCTTAAAGCTTAATTAAGAAAAGCTCTTACAGCCAGGCGTGGTGGTGTATGCCTGTAATGCCAGCACTTGGGAGGCTGAGGCAGGAGGATCCTTGCGAGTTCAAGACCATCTGGGCTACAAAGTGAGCTCAAGGCCAGCCTGAACTGCGTAGTGAGACCTTGTCTCAAAGAGACAAAAAAAAAGAAAAAAAGAAAAGCTCTTATTGCTAATGATTTTTTAGTAGCTGTGTTCAACAGAATGGAGATTTAAGGAGGCTCCACAACCTGCATAGATGAAGTCAGTGTTTATTGTGGGGACTTCACAAATATCCCACTTTTCCTACCTGTGGTCATCTTTTCCCAGAATACTCAGTCTTCCAGGGTTTACTAATTGGACTTCATTCCTTTTTTTTTTTTTTTTGAGATAGGGTCTTCCTGTGTAGTTCAGGCTAGTTTTTGAACTCAAAACTATGTAGCCCAAACTGGCCTTGAACTCACGGCTATCCTCCTGCCTCAGCCTCCCTGAGTGTTGGAATTATGGGGGTGTGCCATCATGCCCAGCGCACCCCCCCATACCGGGGCTCGAACTCACGACCTTGTGCTTGCTGGGTAGGCGCTGCATCACTGAGCTAAATCCCCAGCTCCTTTCTTTTTTTAAAAAGCCTATTAAGGACCTTCTACCTCATTCCTCCTCTGGGTGGCTTTCTTGGTCCAGCCCCTATGAGCTGTACTTTTGATGATTCCCTGAATCAGTGAGAAGGGAAGTGCAGAGGGGAAAGGAAAGGAGAAAAGGTCTGTGTGTTTTGTCAGGAATGCTTTGCTCTTGTGCTACAGTTGTGGGAAACTGGTGAAGGCTTTCAGTTAGGTGGGGGAGGATGTCATGGGAACAAGCATCCACGCCGCAGTGGGGGCTCTTCTGTGGGAGCCAGCACGTACCATCATACTGGCTCAGTGGAGGGCTCCAGAGGTACTTGGTGAGTTGAAGAAAAAGTGAGTCTGTGTATAAACTTTAACCTAGGCCTCCCTGCAGTAGTGGGGATTGAACCCAGGGTCCTGTGCTAAACTGAGTCCCCAGCCCCTCCCCCAGCTTTATTTTACAAGAGTCTTCCTAAATCACTACCTTGTCCAGGTGGGCTCACCCTGGCATGCTGCCTCAGGCTTCCAGAGTGCTGAATTAGAGGCACGTGTCATCATACATGGCTTATTCTAGATCAGTGATGGCAAACATTTTAGAGCTTCCAGTGATACAGACAGCCTGCTGTGGCATGCATGCCATAGGTTTGCTCACTGACCTATGTCTTGAGCAGATGCTTTTGGAACTGGGGAAGGATTTACACTTTTACTCTTTTTTTTTTTTTTTTTTTTTTTTGAGACAGGGTCTTGCTCTGCCGTTCAGGCTGGCCTGAACTCACTTTGTAGCCCAAGACAACCTCTTAAATTTTGAGAAAGGATTTCGTGATACAGTATTGTCTAACCTGGCCTGGAATTTGTGTTCCTGCTGCCTTGACCCTTCTGGTAATTGGGATTATTGGCGTGTACAGCTGTGGTTGGCCCTCTTCTCATTTGATTTACTTATATTTTTACCCAAGGCCTCACACATGCTGGGCAAATGTTCTGCAGCTAGCTGTACCTCCAGCTCCCTGTATGTTTTTGTTTTTGTTACTTTTGTTTTTTTTCTGGTTCTTGGAATCGAACTCATGACCTCGCACTTGCCAGGCAGGCGCTGTGCCACTGAGCTAAATTCCTAGCCCCATTGAGACTTTTTTTTTTTAATATTTTTTATTTATTTGTTTTTTTTCCGGTACCGGGAATCGAACTTACGACCTTGCGCTTGCCAGGCAGGTACTGTGCTGCTGAGCTAAATCCCCAGCCCCCTTGTATCAGTTTTTTACAGCCCAGTTATGGTTTTGGGTTTACACTGGGCTGGATTCTTGTTTGAGTAGCAAAGCTTCACAGGAGTGCTTTCCAGGGGAGTGTGGATCATTACTTCTGAGAATGTATTTGATCATAATGTTGTGAAATATAGAAGCATTTTGGTTAGAAATTTAAATGATTTTCAGTCTTTGGTCGTTTATTTTTTTACCTATTTTCTTTTTTGGTACTGGGCATCCAACTCACGTCCTCCAGTTTGCCGAGCTACATCCTGGCCCAATGATCTCAATCTTATGGGGCAGTATTTCTCTAGTACCATTTCTTACTTTGGAAAATAATGCTCAATTTCATAAAATTGACAGATTTTATTGGCAGCATATAGATAATCATTTCTTTATATATTTGAATATATCTGTTAGCTTAGAAATTCTGAAAACATGTTCTCAGATTCATTAGAAATTGAGAATTGAATCAGCGTTTTATTATAATCTGTATGTTTTTACAAGGAATTTAGTAATGAATGATTGACCTTCTTGAAAGCTGTCATGATTCATAGAAAACAGAATAGGAACCTGGGCCTCAGCTGTGGTAAATTATAGCCTGACTGAATATTGATTATATTTAGACTGTGGTCAACAAGAAATAAGAGCTTCAGGGCTAGGGATATAGCTCAGCAGCACAAGAGGCTGCCTAGCAAGCTCAAGGTCCTGAGTTCAATTCCTGGTACAAGGAAAAAAAAAGACTCAAAAAGACAGAAAAAAGAAATTCACAATAACTAACAACAGATTAGAACAATTATAATATTAGGGGCTGGGGATGTAGCTCAGTGGTGGAAGCGCCTGTCTGGCAAGTGCAAGGTCGTGAGTTTGATCCCCGGTACCACAAAAAAAAAAAAAAAAAAAAAAAAGCTTCAGTGTTCATAACTCCAGGCTTTTGATACTTTAACATGTGAAGGTAAACCAAGCACTACTGAGAATACAGACTGTTAGGGTTGAGTAGAAGCCCTTGGACCACAGGGTGGTTTTCTTTTCTTTTTTTTTTTTGATTTTTTTTTTCCGGTACCAGGAATCGAACTCAAGACGTTGAGCTTGCCAGGTAGGCGCTGTGCCGCTGAGCTAACTCCCCAGCCCCCACAAGGTGATTTTCAAGGCCGTGGAACAGTCTGTGGTAGAAATCCTTGTAGGGAGCACTTTGCCATCAGCTGAACATGGATGTTGAGGTGAGGGCTAGGAGGTTTTATAGTAAGCTAGGGCTTTCTGGGAATGGGTTTGGAGGAAATAGGCTTAAATGTCATTAATATGTTTTTAGAAAGTTTTGTGGATTAATTTCTTAAAAGCTAATTAAAGTTAATTATGTATGGCTTTAGTCATTAAAGTAATACACTCACCTTAATATAATTGATCCTAGAGAGTTACTATTGTATATTTGATGTTCTACTTGTGCTCAGAACCTGAACAGATAATTGTATTGTTTATCCTTATTTGCATTTTGTAGCTCTTTTTATCCTGTAGGTATAGTTGGTACAGTGTTAATGCAAGTGACTTTATAGCTGGTGTATCTGGTTCTGTTGCATAAACTATTTGACAATTCAGGTAGCTTTGCATTTTTTTTTGGTGCTGGGATTGAACCCAGGCCCTCATGCTTGCTAAGCACATACTTTTATCACTGAACTACACCTTCAGCACCCAGATAACCTTTATTTTTCTCATTTCTCAGACTGCAAGTGGCAACGTGGAAGCGAAAGTAGTGTGTTTTTATAGAAGACGAGATATTTCCAATACGCTTATAATGCTTGCGGACAAGCATGCTAGTAAGTTACTTGTCTTTCTCTTGGGTCAAAAAACGTTTGTCTTGTGTATTTTGTGATGAAAGGAAGATGCTTTCTGTTACCTGAAGCTTTTTGCCTCATATATCTTTAGTGTAGTTCAAATGACAGTACTTTCTTGGGTGGTGTTTTAGTCTTACGTTTTTTTTTTTTTTTTTGTGGTCTGGTGATTGAGTGTAGGACCTCTCTTATGTTAGGCAAGCACCCTACTTCGGAGCTACTCCTCTAGCCCAATTTAAATTTTCTTAGGTGGCATCATACATAACTTATTAAATTAGAATATGGAAATAGAAGCCTTTGCAAGTGGGCTTTAGCAAACATGAAATAAAGGCTGCTCTTTTCAGTGGTGGTTTTGTTTTTATATTTTGAGACAGGATCTCACACTGTAACCCAAATTGGCCTTGAACTTGCTATATAACCTAAGATGGCCTGGAATTCCTGATCCTTCTCCTTCAGCCTTCCAAGTTTTGAGACTCTACCACCCTCAGGTATCAGTGGTAGTTTTTGGAGTTTGTGCTGAGACAGGATCTCACTATATAGTTCAGGCTGCCCTTGAACTCACTATGTAGTTCAGGCTGGCCTTGAACTTGAAGTGATCCTCCTATCTCAGACTTCCAAGTGCTGGGATTGTAGGTGTGGAACACCATGGGTTTTTTTTTCTTTTTTTTTGAGACAGGGTCTTGCTATGCAGTTCAGTCTGGCCTTGAGCTCACTTTGTAGCTAAGGCTGGTCTCGAACTTGCAACATCCTCTTGCCTCAGCCTCTGGAGTGCTGGGATTACAGGCATGCGCCACACGCCCATCCTCCAGTGATAGTTTTCTGAAGGTACAAATTGGAGGAATGGTTACTGCTATTTTGGGGGACATTTATTTCTTTTAAAACAACTGGGAGATACATGTGTATACATTTATTAATGTGATGGGGATTAAACCTAGAGGCTTTGCAATAACCTGCATTCTCAGCGCTTTTTGTTTTTTTCTTTTGAGTTTGAGTCTTGCTAAGTTGCCTAGGCTGGCCTAGAATTTATGCTGTTTCTCCTTCAACCTCCAGAATAGCTGGGATTAAGTGGTTGCAGGGTCCCAATGCGCTGGGAGGCTGGAGAGAAAAAGCCACAAAACATGGCTTTTGCCCCAGATGGCTCACTTGAGATGTTAGTAAGAATTGCCTCCTCAGTATTCTGTAGCTGTGAGGAGGAAGAGGCCAAGGAGAGAAAACAAAGAGACTGAGAA